ATGTTTAAAGACAGAACAAACTTTGATCAGGACGTAGTTGTCTTCAGTGAACCTATTTATGCATCTAGTTACTTACCTGCCTAATTTAGCATCCCCAGGATCATGGCCTCAGTTTGGAATAACCTAATGAATTTCAGTAGAGTGCCTCAACTACCACTTGTAAAAATAGGATGATTCAAATGCAAATAAGTGCAAACATGTGCAAAATTAACATTCCTAATAGACAAAGCCTTTCCATATAGGAAGGTATTAATGCTACTACCAGAGGTAGGCAAGCATAATTCCTCATGTGGACAAACTCACCCTGAGTACCGTTTTTTGATTTCACCTAAATCAATTAAAGAAGTTGGACTTAATCTAAAAAAAAAAAAAAAAAAAAAAAAAAAGCCAGAAGATGCCAGGATGAGTGAGTCTGCATGAGGGTTATACTACAACCCCTGGTTTTAAATTCACACTCTGGTGTGCACAAAAAGAACACTTTTTTTGAAGATAAAAGCCTCCACGTGTAATAACTCGATATATAGACAAGCCCTAGGGGCTTGCATCTTGAGCACTTAACATTTTTGGCCTCGTCTTAATGGATAAAAAAGGTGTGTTTCACAGTCACATTAGCCCAGTCAAAGGAGCTTAATATGATGAAAAGGCCTTAGGGTTTGGTGAGGCTGAGGTGTAAAGGTGTGAGGCAGCACATCCATCACAGCGTGGGCACTGCTGCCTTCAGCACACACTGGGCTGGGCAGGGGCAGCAGGCAGGGATGGGGAACAGGGAGGGATGGGAGCAGGGAGGGATGGGGAACAGGGAGGGATGGGAGCAGGGAGGGATGGGGAATAGGGAGGGATGGGAGCAGGGAGGGATGGGGAAATGGCAGGGATGGGGAGCAGGGATGGATTGGGAGCAGGCAGGGATGGGAGCTGGCAGGGATGAGGAGCAGGAAAGGATAGGAAGATCACAGAGATGGGGAACAGGAGGGACGGGGAGCAGGGAAGGATGGGGAACTGGCAGGGATGGGGAACAGGAGGGATGGGGAGCTCACAGGGATGGGGAACAGGGAGGGACTGGGAACAGGCAGGGATGGGGAACAGGCAGGGATGGGAAGCAGGGAGGGATGGGAAGCTGGGAGGGATGGGGAACAGGAAGGGATGGGGAGAAGGCAGGGATGGGGAACAGGCAGGGATGGGGAGCAGGGAAGGATGGGGAATAGGGAGAGATGGGGAGTAGGGAGGGATGGGGAGAAGGCGGGGATGGCGAGCAGGGAGGAATGGGGAACAGGGAGGGATGGGGAGCAGGGAAGGATGGAGAGCAGGGAGGGATGGGGAAATGGCAGGGATGGGGAGCAGAGATGGATGGGGAGCAGGCAGGGACGGGGAGCTCACAGGGATGGGGAGCCTGGCCTGTGTCAGCCCCACATTCCTACAAACTCTGGATCTGTTTTGTGGGGTGCAGCTGCTGTCCGACAGAACTGAGAACAGGGATGGATGGGAGCAGGGACGGATGGGGAACTGGCAAGGATGGGGAACAGGAGGGATGGGGAGCAGGGAGGGATGGGGACCATGCAAAGATGGGGAGCAGGGAGGGATGGGGAGCAGAGATGGATGGGGAGCAGGCAGGGACGGGGAGCTCACAGGGATGGGGAGCCTGGCCTGTGTCAGCCCCACATTCCTACAAACTCTGGATCTGTTTTGTGGGGTGCAGCTGCTGTCCGACAGAACTGAGGGTATTTCACAGAGAGGAGCAGGTGAGAAAACATCAACTACAATGAAATGTTTTTTCCTTGTGGGCTGTGAATGCCTCCAAAGAGAGCAGTTAGATGGATTTTAGGCAAACTGGACCTCCACACCATGTGCACTGCTCCAGAGCCCCTGGCAAGTGCAGTTCTCCAGCTATCTGGGAGTGTTGCTCAGGATGAGAAGTGAAGCTTTTCCCCCACCATGGCAGCAAAAAGCATCTCCCCAAACTGCTGGGAAAGTCCTCACTGCTCAAGGAAGGGTGTGTGTGTCATACCCACTACCCAGGCTGTGCTGCTGCCTGAAGTAAGGCAGATCCACGAGATGACAAGTAAGCAAAACTGATGAAAAGAAGAAACAAACATTTCAAGTTTAAAACTAGGCTTCCACAACACATTGGTTAGCATACGACAATTAGCATATGCTAACATTTTTTGTAGCCCAGCCAAGTTTAGTACAAATTAACCAGAAGTCACGTATTTGTATGATGTAATCCTGATTTTGTCACTTGATTTAGGCTTTGTCTAGAACTCTTTTAAATTATCTTGGTCTTGGTTTTTATTACTGAAAAAAAATCCAGTAATTTGGCTATTTCTGGACTACTTGGGTGAATATAAATGCAGATGTAAAACAAAGATCACAGGCAGCTGATGTGGTTGCTGCACTCAGCTGTCCCTGCACCTTCATCCTGAAGTTTGCTACAAGGAGAACCATATGGGATGTGCAGCAGCACCAAACTGTCTGCAGTTTTCAAAACAGCACACTGAGGTAAGCAGATGTTGAACACAGTCAATTATCAATTTAGCACAGGGTAAGACAAAGTGGTTCAATATACTGAACATTTGAAATGTTAGCATGATGCCGGTGTAGCTTAAATGCAGCCTTTGTGATAACTTGGATGTTTCTGCAATGGGAACACAAGTGAGAAGAAAACAAAAATTAAACTTTTATTTGGTTCATGTAGAGTGATGGATGATCATTAAGCTGGCAGAGCTCTGAATTAATGTCATAAAATAGAAAGTATCTGGATCCCATTCCTGATATAATCCAGAATAATTTTCTTATTATTTATGTTCCATACACCACTTTAGCTCTATGAAGACAAAATTATATTTACATTCCAGTTGTCATTTTCCTTTAATTGTAACAGAATAATTTTCCTTAACTAGCTGATTTAAGACAAGATCCTGTCTTCAACTTCTTCTGTTATGAAAGTATTTGTTATTAAGCACATTGGGACAATTTAGGATGTTTTGAAGTTACAACCACTAGCATGCCTTGTTTAATCAGAACTGCAAAGATCTCACTTACATTTCAGAAACAATTCCAAAACTACAGAAATGTTTATTTTAAGGAGGGCTAGAATATAAAATTCTAGTTGAAAGCTTCAACGCTGTCTTGCCTTTAAAGTTTAAAAAAAAGCAGGTGTGTCAGCTCACCTGAGTTAGTTTACAATGAACTAGAAGATCTCTTAACATTCAGTAAAGCAGACAACCTGTTCATTCAATATTATATATTTGCTGCAAAAGCGTGTGTTTTCCAGACAGCGAAAATTTATAATAGGTGGTTAGTGTGGCCAAGGTATAAACGTAAAAATGTTCCTGACAGAACTGTTCAAATATCCTGAATCAACAAAGCACTCCCACACTGGGTTTATGTGTGACACGTCTCCCAGCTCGTCCCTCTGCCTTCTCCAAGTGACAGATAACGCCAGCAAATAGAGTTCCCTACAATTCCATCTCCACCTCAGGTTCCTGCTCACGAGCCTCTCTCAGTCCTGCTCGGCTCTTCACACCTTTGATTGCCACAGCAGTGGCTGCAGCCGCTCACAGCACAGACCTGCCCAGCTGTGTTTGGACACGTAGGGAGATAAGGCACAGCAGCACAACTCCTGGGCTAAGTCCCTAATTCACTCCCGTGCTAGACCACACCACACCAACGCTGACTTATTCCTGCCTCCACTCCTGCTTTATATGGTGGTAGGTATATATACACATAATAAACGTATTAACAAAGACAAAAAGAGAAAATATTTGAATTACACATTTTTGTATAAGACACACATCCCAAAGCTCAACCACTCAGGGGTGATAGAAAGGTATTAAAAATGTGTCCATGGGGAAACTGGATGAAGAACGCAGGGACAAGTGAACCCAGTGACTTCTGTGATCTGCCATGGGATGTGGCAGCTATTCCCCACACACCAAGCAGTTGAAGCGAGCCCACGGTGTGCTCCAATCAATGTGCACACGCAGAGTGGCTCTGACACATCCGAGGCTCACCCAAGCCGTGGCGCATGTGCACTGGGTCTGCTCACGCACAGCCAGCCTTTCAGGAGATGGCCTTTTTTTCACTAGACCAGATGGCAACCTGGCAACTCCAGCAAATGCCACACCAGCGATCCCACTGTGCAGAGGCAGTGGCCTTTTCCTTCCCTCTCCCTGCCCTTTTTCTCTCTACTCCACCCAAGCCTGGGCCTGTATGGCATTAAATGTTTTCTGTTAAATTACGCTAACTTGCCTGGGTTAACAAAATTCAAAGGCACTTTCTTCTGTCAGACAACATGTAAACACATTAAGACCCTGTATCTGAAAGTGTATGAGTAGTATAGCCATGCTGTCATTTGCAGACTTCGTAACACAAACATTTAGCTCGGGATGTGTTTTTGATTTGGCATAAATGAGTACATTTTCAGTGATAGGGCCAAGAAAGCCATACCAACAATCCAGCTGCTCTCCTTGCATGGCTGAACAATAGGGATGGCTCCATATAATTTTTTATGAATGTAAGTGGAGACAAATGTGTTACTTTCTAATATATTTCATACGTTATATGAAAATGTCACAAAGATCTATTTAATTACTCAGAAACGTATAAAAGGAATCAACAAAGGTTTTGTTATTAAATGGTTCTGAAGAAAACAGGCCAGCAAAGTCGTATTTGCCACAGCATACCATTTAATTTTGTATTCTGACGCTGACAAGTGAAAAATTGGGGAAGGAAAAGAAGTGTAATGGTCTGGATTGCTTTGTGTTTATTTTTACTTAAAAAAAAAAGAAAATAGCGACCTAAGATCAGCCCCTCCTTCCGTCTTTGTACCTCTGTGATACCCCAGGCCATTTTATCAACTGGGATTCAAACAGAAACCCAAAAGCCACTGCCAACACGCTCCGTGCGGAGCTCCCGGGATGTGTTTACTCGCACCCTTGGGGCTATCGCTCCCCACCAATTCTGCAAGTCCGGCGAAGTTCCCGAACCCGCCCGCCGAGCGCGAGTCACCGCGCTGCTCCTCTGTCCGTGCGCGCCGTTCCGTGATTCAGCACCCGCGCCCCGAGCGCGCTCCCTGCGCACCCGCAGCTCCGGCCCCGGGAGGGAGGGGAGGAGACAGGGAGGGAGAGCGGCCGGGCCGGGGCCCCGCGGGGGTGGATCAGGGGTGCCCTTGGGGCGGTGCCCGCTCCGGCCCCGGGAGCGAGGGGAGGAGACAGGGAGGGAGAGACGGCCGGGCCGGGGCCCCGCGGGGGCGGCTCAGGGGTGCCCTTGGGGCGGTGCCCGCTCCCGCCGCGGGCAGCGGAGCGCGTCGGGGCAGCGCCCGGGAGGAAAGTCCGGGGGCGCGGCCGCTTCCTCGCCCCGTGGCCGGACTTTTCTCCGGCTGCGAGGCCGCGGCGCTCGCCGCCTCCCCTCGGGAGCCCGAGTCCCCGCTGGCCTCCGGGACACGTTAAATCCCGTGTAATGAGGCTTAACCCCGCCCCGCAGCCGGGCCGGCAGGCAGCCAGCCAGGCGGGCCCCTGCTCGGGGAGTCCCCCCCCGCCCCGAGCGCCCGCAGCTGTTCCAGCCGGAGCTGCTGGAAAGCGGCCACGCTCCCCAGACTTTGTCTCCCTCGCACACAGCGCTGAACTCTGCTCCCTCCCTCCTTCCCATCCCCCGGGGCGCCCGCGGCTCCCCCCGCCTCCACCGCCCCGAGCCGCAGACGCGCGGCGGGGGGAAGGGGGAGCGCTCCCGCCGCCGGGCTCCAGCGGGGCCCGGGGGGAGCGAGCGCCGCCGGGGCGGGCACCGAGCGCTGCCCCCGGAGCCGCGTCCTGCGGAGCGCAGCCCGTGTGCGGGGAGCGGCCGCTCGCATTCAGGAGGGGCTTTTCCTTTTCTACGGGGAAATAAATAAAAAGAAATAACAAGGGCGGGGAGAGGGTGCGGGAGCGCTGGAGCAGCGGCCGGGGCGCGGTGCGGGGTGGGGTGCGCGGAGCTCCCCGTGGCGCCGCGTCCCGTCCGGGCCCCGCTCCGCGGTTTCCCCGCAGCCCGGCGCGGCCCCAGCCCAGCCCGTGAGGTCGGCGAGGCGGCGGATGGGTGTCTGCGCCGGGGGACGGGCGGTGGGCGGGCGGGGCAGGCGCAGTGTGGGGCCGCGGCAGGGGAGGAGGAGGAGGGCGGTCGGTCGCTGTGTCTATGTGTCGCACTGGCAGGGGGGAAGGGAGTCGGGGAGGCGGGGGTTACACACCAGGGCAGCGCCGGGATCCCTTCTCCACCCCGCGGGGAGGGGGCAGGGCGCCGCCTCCTCCTCCCCCTTCCTCCTCCCCCTTTTTCACCCTTCCTCCTCCTTCTTTCCCCAAAGTTAAACTTCCTGCTCCCGGCCCGGCTGGGAAGGGGACGCGGAGCCCGGCCGGACTCAGCCCCTCGACACACACAACAGCTGGAGCTGTCAAAACTTCCTCCGCTCGGCCTCGGCCCCCGCCGCCTCCGCCGCCGCCGCCCGCTCCTCCTCCGCCCCCGGGGGCTCTGCGCGGGGGGAGGGCGCAGGGCCAGGGTACAATGAAGCGGCGGCCGCCGCAGCCGGGCAGCGCAGCAGCCGGAGCCGCCGCCAGCGCCCGGGGCCTCTGAGCGGGGGCGCCCAGCGGCGGGACCAGCCGCGTCTCTGTCGCTCGCTCTCTTCACCTCCCCCAGCCCCGACAGACCCCGCCGAGCCCGGGGAGGGTGTTATTGTGTGTGAGACCCTTCCTTCCGTCCTCTGCGCTTTCTCTTCGCCCCCCCCCTCCCCCCCTTACAACTTATGTATAATAGAATTTGATAAGTGGATGAACAGATTTTTGAATTGCCACATGTGACTTCTTGACTTAGGAGACTTTCACCCCCGCCACCCCCCTCCCCTCCTCCTCCTGCTCTCCCCATGCTGCTCCCCCTGCTACCTGTGCTGGTCGGCGGCGGCTGAGGCCAGCGATGCGAGGCGGAGGTGGAGGAGGCGGAGGTGAGGAGGAGAGGAGCCGCGGGAGCAGGAGGAGCATCGGGATCCCCATCACCATCCTCATCTTCATCCTCATCATCATCATCCATGTGTCTCTCTCGTCCTGCTGACTAGGATGTCAACGGAGGACAAGAGTCTGGTGGTGGCGGTGGTGGAGCCGCCTCAGCAGCAGCAGCAGCCCCCCGAGCCTGGAGCTCCCCCCCCAGCAGCAGCAGCAGCAGCCACAGACAAAAGACCTAGGGGCCGGCCTCGCAAAGATGGCGCTTCCCCTTTCCAGAGAGCCAGAAAGAAGTAAGTTCAGCGTTTGTGTGTGCGAGGCAGAGAGGGGCCGGGGCAGGCGGCCAGGCGCAGGCAGAGCTGTCAGTGGAGACTCGCTACTCGTCGCCCCCTCCCTCTGCCTAATGCCATTTTGAGAAGGGCCCTTCTTTCTTCTCCTCCTCTCCCCTTTGCACTTTCCCCTCCTCCTCCTCCTTTTTCACCTTTGTCTTCCTCCGCCTGCTCTCCCTTTTCCACTTTTCTTTCCCCATCCCTATTCCTTTCTTCCCCTCCTTCTTCGGAGTTTCTCTTTAGCTCTTCCCCCTCCACCCTCTTCCTCCTTTTTCCCTTGCCTTTGCACCTTCCCCCTTCTTTTTGGGTCCGTTCCCTTCCAGGACGCTCGGCTGCCTTCAGCGTCGCCTGGGTGCTCCCTGTGCGCTGACGGTAGTTCCTCGTCGCTTTCCCTTGTAATGCCCCCCCCCCCCTTCCCCTCCTCTTTTTGGGAAGGAAAACACGGTTCTCGGCGGGTGGCGGGGAGGACACCCCCGCACCCCCCGCGCACACGCAGAGTTGAGGCAGGAGTTTCTCGGCGGCGCGGGGGGAGCTGTCAGCGGCCGCCGCACGGAGGGACGCGCCGGCGGGACGGTGCCGAAGCACAACAAACACACGGAGGGAGGGGGCGGAGGATGGCGGGGGGAGCCCGTTCCCGGCCGCTGGCAGCTCTCCCTTCGCCGCGGCCTCTCCCCGCCGGGGGCGCGGGCGCTCCCCCCGCCCCGCCGGGCGCTCCCCCGGCACGGAGCGGGGGTGGCCGCGCTGCCGGTGCCCGGGGTGCGGGGCCGGGCTGCGCTCGGGGAGAGGCCCCGGGAAGCGCCGCTGCCGCGCTGGCTCCGCTCCCCACGGGTTATTTTTGAGTAGGATGGAGCTTGCCCTGGCATAGCTGATGGCAGCGGTAATAGGGCAAAGCTGGGCGGCACGTTTGGCCGAGGAGCGTCAGGAGGTGGCCAGAGCAGCCTGTCTGTCCGAGCCCCGGGGTTCAGAGGTGGTTCCCTTTGTTTTGGGGGACGCGCTCCGTTTGACACTGCCGTGTTTGTCCCGGCCCTTCCCTAGACGCCCTCCCCAAACATCGCTGCCGATTTCCGTGCCGGAATCATTTCGGTTGGAAAAGACTTTTAAGGTCAAGCCCGACCATAAGGTCACAGTGGAAGTCCACAACGTGACAAGGGATTCTGCTGGGCTGGACCTAACCACATGCGGAGACCAGGCGTCTTTTATATGCGTTTGTTTTTACCAAGACATAAGTATCCCAGGACAGAGCTATCACTTGTTTGGGATACATGATTTTTTGTTCTTGTTGTTTTCATTGATGAAGTTTACCTGCAAAGATTTTCATGTCACCTCTGGCTTTGGGGACGGTGTGTTGTTTACAGTTCCCTCTTTTCATTATCTTATGTATTTTCCTGATAGAATTTTTAATATAGCGGTCGTTGAAAGTAGTTGGCAAACATACACGTGGTGAAGTTCCTGTGTTCATCTCCTTTATGCTTAGTTTGACACGCTTTGGTTTTATTTTTACTTACAGAATCCAAACCTTACATAGGAAACCTTTGAATGTTTCCATTTTGAAGGAAATTTTTCTGAAGAAAAATGCAAATGCAACTGAAATGTACCAGTTTGCACAAAAAACCTAAACAGTGTTACTGTGAAAATTGACATATCTTGTTAGGCCAGTTTGAGGTAGTGTATGCACTCTTGAGGAAAAAAGTGTGTGTTAAAGAGGTAATTCCTTGCCTTCAGTTAGGTTTTTGGTGTCATGGAACTGTTGTTGGCTAGGTTTAGGGAGAAATAAAATATTCCTGTAAAATATGAGCTTATGTTGACATGGTTATAAGTGTTTGTGTAAAAGTGGGAAATTAAATTAGCTGAGACAAAAATTAAAATGAATCAATACTCTTTTTGTTCACACTCTGATTGTTCCTGGCTCACTTGGTGCTCCTTATCCTGCTGCATCTTTCTGCAAATCCTGTACTTTTGGTAAAGGCATTATGACATAAGTCATAAATGCTTTTGAAACTAGGGTTTTATAAAAAACTGTTATTTTTGAACATGTACAGCAGAAGTGTAGACTGGTGGTTTGTAGTTGCATCCATTTTGGGAAGAAAATGGTTTTATTTTGTAAGTTTTCCTATTTACAAAATACAGATTACAACTAGCCTGGCAAATACAGAAATGAGACAACTAAAGCTATTTTCTATTTTTTCCTTCAGAGTGCGTGGTCCTGTCTTCCTTTTCACTTCTGTGCTTTCCAGTTGGATTAATGTGCCTCATGTAAACCAGATAAAAGAGCATATGTCAGACCATTTTCTGTACTGTAATCACATGTCTAAATCACTATTAGCCAGTCAAATTGTTCAACTGCTTTATCCCATTATAGGAAATGTTCCACTGAATGTTCAGTCTAAGTGCAGTCTAAGTAATGATAAAACGAAGAGCCCTGCATTAAACTGGCAAAGCCAGAATAGAATAATTCCTCAGCTATGGATGCCTCCATTAAACAGCAGTGCCATATTGGAGAGTACTTTAGGTTGGTATTTTGCCTTCTTTGAAGGCCATGTTTTTAAGCAAATTTGATGAGTTTAAGCAGACAGATGGAAAACTGCCTTGAATCTGCTCCTGTGGGATGCCAGGGATTCTCAGCTCTTCCCAGGAGCAGGCTTATGTTAAGGGAGCAGAGGGTCCTTCAGTAGGACAGTGCTTGCCCACATCTCATTCTGCTTTTTGCCTGGTTATCAGTAAAAATTCCAGTGGTGCTGTGGACACAGATAAGTACAGGGAACAGTGGAGGCTTCCTGCAGGTGAAGAACTTGGAATTAATGTCATCAGTACCTGGAGAGAGATACAGATGGTGGAATGTGGTGCTAGAACAGCCTTTTGTCATTGTTTGGAGGCTGTAGCTTCATGCAGCACTGTCAGGAGAGTTAATCTTAGGTGAACAGTTCATTTTTATTATTTATATTGTAATTGTGCCTAGAGGCCAGGGCACCATTACACTACACGCAGTACAAATGCATAAGCAAAGGTTGTTCCTTCACAAACAATTTCTTAATTTAAATGTGAAGATAAGACAGCATGTAAATGTAAGAAATGTATTGGGAAAGCACAAGGGAGCTGTGAGAATGCTGTGAGCAAAAGAACATGCAGAAGTTCAAGTACCCTGACTATCTCAGCATCGGGGAGTGATTCACAGGCATCCAACTTGGAGGATATATTTAAAGCAGGGTAGCATTGTCACCCTGAGGATTTTCACAGAAAGCTGGGTTCCTGCCTGAACTGCCAGGCCAACACTCCTGTTTTCTTCCTTATGTTTTGACAAGGGGATATCTCTACAGAGCAGCAATTCAAATTTAAGAGGTGGAGCAAGAACAGGCCATGCAGAGCCTTGAAATTTAGAGCAAGGAGGTTGTTCATGTTATGGGGCATCAGGAAGAATACAGAAAACTGTAATCAAAGCAGTGAATGAAGAAAATATTTTTGCAGTATTGCCTTTCTGCCTTAAAAGGTAGAAAGACTGAATTCATAGAAGTTGAAAAAAGATAATAAAGTTGCATTACTAAGCTGGGTCTTGATGGAGAAGAAAGAAGCTTTCAGATGCATGGTTAAAAGAAGTCTTGCTAGGATTGTAGAGGGAAAAAAGGAAATTAGGTGCCACCTCACTGTATGGCCTGAAATCTTGGGAACTTAACTCTTGCTTGGATTATACCTCAAGTTCCAGGGTAGGGACCTGAAGGATAGGAATATGATTGGAAAGAAGTTGTAGAGGAAGAGTTCTAACTGCACAAACAGGCGGTTGTTCATGAAAATGTATCAGAATAGTATTGTAAAGGTGAAGTAAACATTTTTGTAATAAATTTTAATTAACAGAGCTGTCTTAATCTCTGCAGGTTATAAGCAGCACAAACAGATGCAGCTTCTTACCAAAATTTAGTAGAAGTCTCATTGTAGGTCAGTGTCTAAGCTCACTTTAAATGTTATTTTCAGCATCCATCAGATCTTGATGTTTGTTATTTTTGCAAATGTGTTTAGTTTAAAGCAGCATATAATAATGCTTTCAAAATTGTGGAGAACATTTTGTGTGTCTTTTTTAATTACCCATGTTTTCATTTCCATAGTAGTTTTTTCATTACTTTGGCCAATATAAGCTGCAGTAGGTTTTCAAAGGCCATTGATTTCTCATATGCAGATAGTTCTGAGGACCCTTAAGCATAAGTGTTTTTGCCAGGAAATGATTATTTGAGAATTTTTATCATCATTTTAGTTGCATTTGCATTAGGGTAGGCCAGTATTTAAAGATACCTACTCTCATTTCAAAAGAACCTTAAAGTGTTGGATGGAGCTTTGTAGCTCAGCTGTGTTTCTTTAGTTCATCACACACCTTCTGTGTGATACTTGTGTCTTTACTTGCCTGCCCTTTTCTCAATTCAAAATTTAACATTTGCAAATGGAAGATGTATGTTGTGTTGTAGAATAAAAATGTTCCTAAACAAGATCACAGTCAGGGGAAGTCATCCCTTCCTGGCAAGACAGAGGTTTTTTGATGGACAAGCTTGGTACAACTATTGCACAGCAAAGGGTTAATGTATTAAAGCAAACACTGGCCTCTACAAGCCACGTGTATCAAACTGTTTGGCCAAAAGCCAGAAGGCACATAGTGGAACACGGAGTGAGGAGGAGATGAGGTGTGAGGATTGAAGTTGGCTCTGTGCAGAACAGGGCTGAGCTTTGTGCCATTTTCTTCAGCAGCCCGTGTTCTGTGACTTCCTCCACCCTATTTGAATTCCCAAGCAATTCCCCAACTGCTTTATGTATTTTTTGCACAGGAGCCTGCCTCACAGTGCTCAGGAGGTGAATGATATCTCTATTAATCTTCAGATTTTCAGTTCTCTATAATTGCTTGTGTGATGGATAGGGTTTATAGAATTGTTTTGCCACAAAATTATTAAAATACGGATTTATGTAGAGTCTTTACTTGTGTCTTAAGGGTGAGTGAAGTTAAGCTGAATGCTGGAAATAGATGCACAGTTTCCCCAATTTGAAACAGACTTGCTTTGAAGGACTCTTTGAGACTTTTTTTTTTTAAACATTTCACTTGTTAGTTTCTCTATGTTTGTATTTAATAATACATTGAACTTCTGTAGCACTTGTCATGAGAGGACTTCCAAGAGCTGTCAGACACATCAAGTGTGATGGCTGTCTGAAATCTCAGCATATTGGTCACAAGGAATGTCTTGCCCAGTCTCTTGGTTGCTACTCTGAGCCATCTACACACCAGACATCTCTTCATCCTGTGTGCAGTGACACTGGAGACTTTTCCCAGCTTAAAACAATAAAAACAGTTCCATTTTCTTGGCTTTGCTTGTGGATTTTTTTTTCTTGTTAGCATGTTAACTCCTACTAACTTCTTGTCATTGTTCTTTCATAAGATAAGTAATTGGAAATGGAC